CTGAGAGGCCGTATAGACTATCCGCAGGCGGCGTTAGGACTATGAGGAGGCCAGAGGGACCAGGGGAGCCGAGCCCGCGGTGGAGCCCCGCCGGCCAATCGGAGCTCACGTTGGATGGGCTCGGCTGCAGGCGAGGGGGCGCGGTGACGTCATCAGCGCGCCGCACGTGGTGGGCTAGGAGCGCGGGAGCAGAGCGGGACTGTTGGACAGCGGAGCCTTGTCATTGAGCTTTACCTCACAAAGCATGGTGCCAGGGAATAGCATGTGCAAAGGCCCAGTGGCAGGAGGGAGCCTGGTGAGTGCGGGGACAGACGCACGTGAGCAGCGGCCATCTCAGGCCTCGAGGGTCACTGTGGGAGGTGGACTTTCTCTCGAGCGTGCAGTGAGGAGCAAGGATGCCGGATGGTGCTAGTGTGTTGGGAGGAGGGAAGGGGCCAGTGAGTCCATCAGTGTAGTGTGTGGAAACCGTTTCCCATGAAGGCTATGTGTCAGGACCCAGGGTTGGGAGGGGCACTTTGAGTGCCCTCCTTAGGCACCACTGTTCCCGTGTGAATTGCCATGTTGAAAACTGCACTTCCTGCTCAAAGGGACCTTGAGAGCCGAGACCCCACCCCTACCAGAATCAGGCCAAGCCCGTTTTTCCCTGGAAGCCTGGAGCCCTGGGGAGTCTCTGGATGGTGGTGGTGGAGGCCAGGGAGGAAGGTGCCCGTGTGAAGTGGAGGTGGAGCCAACCTCCAGGTTATAGGGAGGGCCCGCTGTTATGGCCTTGACCTGGTGTGCCCCAAGGACTGCTCTCTCTGTGCCTCCCGGGCTTGTTTCCCAGAGTCCTGAGAGGCCTCAGACTATCCGCAGTCGGTCCCCTGGCCCTGCGCACAGGGCTGCGTTAGGACTACGTGGAAGCGAGAGGGACGAGGGGGGCCGAGCGCGCGGTGGAGCTCGCCGGCCAATCGGAGCTCACGTTGGAAGGGCTCGGCTGCAGGCGAGGGGGCGCGGTGACGCCATCAGCGCGCCGCACGTGGTGGCCTAGGAGCACGGGAGCAGAGCGTTGACTGTTGGTTGGACACAGCCTGTGTCAGGCCCCAGTCAGCCTCCTTTCGGGTCCTGTGCATCCTTCCCTGATGTTGAGGCCAGCTCCGTTGCATAGGTGAACATTGCTCCAAGAAGCCCCTCGCTGGATCTGGGAGGCCATGCCCAGTGGGCAGCCGAGGTGGCTCACAGACCTGGCGTGGCGCCTGGTCATACCTCGGAGGGTCTCCCTGATGCCTGCCCCACACTCGGTCCCAGTATTGGGCCCGGCGGTTCCTGTGGCTGTCCCTGCCTTGTTATTGGCGTGATTGATGGGAGCTGAGGGGGCTGCCCAGCAATGAACTGTGTCCCCAATCCACCCCATCCTCAGATACACACTCAGAAGCCTAAGACGATGCCAACAGGTCTCCCTGCCTTTGTGCATCTCTACCTAGCAGTCAGGGGATCTGGTCACAACTCAGATGAGAGAGGTCACCCCAAGGCTCCCTGTCCACCCCCACCCATTCCACCTCACCTCCTGCCACCCACCTCACCTCAGTCCCCTTCAGCTCGGCAGCCTTCTGGAAGGGGCTGCCGCTTGTTCCCAGTCAATGGTCTTTGCGCTTGCTGTTCCCACTGCCTGGAACGCCCACCTCCCCGGCTGGCTCTGCCCCATCGTTGCAGGCAGGATCCCAGCGTCACCTTAGGGGAGCCTTCCTCATCTCTCTCTCTCTGAAACAGACCCACCCACTTTGTTGGGTCCAACCGCCTTGTTGAGTTATCTGAGCACAGGACCCAACTCCCTTGATTTTGTTCATTCCTGTATCCTTTGGGCTTAGAGTGATGCCTGGAATATAGTAGGTGCCCAGGGACTGTTATATGAGCCTCAACTATCATTTACTGAGCGCTGCTTCATTCAGAGATGTACTGCCAGGTTCTGTGCTTCCATGTGGATCAGCTCAGGACGAGGCCCTGCTCTCCACTTCCTGGCTCTGGGACAATTAAGTTTTCCTCATAAGGCTGGGAGGATCAAGCAGGTGTTGATATGCATTTTCAATATGCTTATAAGGGGGTGTCCTAGTATATCATAGTATATATTATAGGATCAAGAGGCCTAGGAATATGCATTTTCACAGGATTCCTCCCCTCCCCTCCCCCAGTCTTTAAGAAACCAATCACCTTTAGAGTGGGACGGACCTGGCAAGTCTTACCTGTCACTTTTCAGCTGTGTGACCCTGAGTAAGTGACTGTCCTCCGAGCTTCCATTTCCTCATCTGTAACACAGGGATCAGCCCCGGGGAGACTTTGATGCAGGCCAAAGGCTGTTTCCACACCTGCAGGCAGTCCCGTTCTGAAGAGGCGTTCTTTCCGATTCCAGTTGTCTGCCCCACTCTGGTCAGCTCACCCACTCTTGGCGGGCAGGATACCTCAACTGCACCTAGGCCCCCACCTAGGTCCATTAGCCCTGCCCCCTGACACCCAAACCTCCTCTCACTTTTCATTCTTGTAAATTGACGTCAGCGCTGCTGAATCATGAAGCTGAGGTTTGAGACAGAACTGTGCACCGCTGGGGGAGCCACATGGCCCCTACGGCACCCCCTCCTCCCCTGAACGCCTGCCCTTTTCCTCTGCAGTGGTGTCTACAGTGGTGTTTACACTGGTGTGTGCACACAATTGCAGTCACACGGTGAAAGGGTATCTCGCCGCGACCCTCCTTACCCAGGACTCAGGGCAAGAGATTTTATTATCTGAAAGAGAAAGTGGCTGACCCCAGAGTGAGAGGGAGCAGCAGCTCGTGGGTGAGGAAGCGTGTTTTTTAAGGAGTAGGGGTAGGGTGTGTTCTGCGTTGGTGATTGGACCTTAAGGGGTGGGTGACCATCTGGTCAGTGGTGATTGAATCTTAAGGGGTGGGAGTCTTAGCGTGTCAGAATTTGCCTTCACGTGGGGCCTGGAGTGCAGCTCCGGAGGGTTAGGTCATTTAGGTCACTGTACCTATGTTAGTATAGATTTTCTTAAAAATGACTCAGAGAGAAAGGACCAGCTCTGAGGAGTGTGATCAGAGGAGCCTTTATTCTTAGCTGTTTTGCTCCAGGTTTTATAAAGGGAATGGGTTTGTAATTTTTTTTTTAATTTTTAAAGGAGGGAAAAATTCTGAAAATTTTGTGAACTACCTGCTAACTTGTCTCTCTTTAGACGAGGGCCTATTTCCTCATCTGTAAAATGGCGATGTCAGTAGTAATTCAATCATTAGACTAGGGTGAAGGTTGAGTGTTTTGATACAGGTAGCTAGGGGCTTGGAACACTGCCGGCACAGTAACACTATATATAAACATCAGCAGCTGCTATTATTACAGCCTTAGGCCCTCATGGGGCATCACGTTGCCCTGAAGCAGTAGAAAGTTTGAAAATCTGGCTCCACCACTTTCTGTGTGCCCTACTTTGCCTCTCTGAGCCTCAGTTTCCCCATCTGTAAAATGGGGGAGAGGTTTCTAACTCACAGGCTGGTTTTGAGAATTAAACAAGATAGTACAGGTCCCAGCAAAGTAAGCGCTCAGTGCCTGCAATATGCCCAAGCATTGCCTTTCTGGATTCCTCCGTTTCTTCAGGCACTGCTCAAGCTGGGTAGGAGACAGAAAGAACAAGGACAGGACTTAATCCACCCAGCAGAGAACAAAGGGCAGGAAAGTGCTGAAAAGAAAAAGCAGCCATTCCTTGGAGGCAGAGAGACATCTCCTTCCCTCCCACCCCACCTTTTTAAAGGATGAAATTGCAGCTCTCTGAGATCCTCTCTCTCTCCTGGCCATCCTTATCCTTAACCTTTAGGCCTGGAACCTATTTAATCCCCAAGACAACCCTGGGCCACTCCAGCTCTCCATCAAGTCAATCTTACTGTTGAGTCTGAAAAGTGTTATTAAATACTAGGACACCCCATTATAAGCATGTCTAAGGCTGTAGAGGGCCATCCTGACTTCTAAAAATGAGGATTGACATAGCTGTGAGGCTGCTTAACCCTAAACCTGAGAACAACTCAATTCACTGGGTGCGGCAACTCAGCTCTGAGTTCCCGGCATGGCTTATCTGTCAGGCACAGAAGTAGGCATAAAACCCAGCATAGGCACTTCCTGGTGATGCGGGCCAGCCCTGCAAGCACCCTTGGAGTGACCACTTCATCCTCTGACTCCTGAAAACTTGATCTATGCATGATGCATAGACAACCAGCTGCTGAAGGTTGGACAGCAAACCCATTTTAGAGGTAGATACTGATGTCCCAGGAGGCAAAGACAATTGCCCAAAGCCACTAGTGGGTCCTCCTGCCACTGCAGACCACAGAGCCTCTTTCTGGCTCCAAGCTGTATTTTCATCAAAAAGTACCGGAGACTGAACAGGGCAGGAAGAAGTCAGGCGCAACCCCGTATCCCCACCATCCCATCTACAATACATCTCCCTTGATGCTGAGTTTCAGAATGTGCCACTCCTTCCAAAAACTGATCAAACCGCCCTCCCCTCCCACCCTCTTCCTGGAAGTTGTTGTGGTCATAGAATGAAAGAAGTTTCCTCTCTGTCATCCATTTCAAGCAGATTCTAGGTGGACAGCCAAAAAAGGCCCAAGTGTTGTCTTTGACACAGGATGACCGCAGGTAAACATTACCCGCTGTGGTTTTCCCTTCTGTAAAATGGGGATGAGAGCCTTGCTTCCTATGGTTGTCTCTATACGAGTAAACTGAAGCATTTAAAGCACAGTAGAGGGCCTGGCACACATTAAGTGCCCAAATGTGAGCTGCATTTTACCAGATGCAAAATAGCAAAACTAGACCACTGGTTTCTTTCCCCAAGCTGTGGGTGGAACCATGCAGGGTTCCCAGCCACTGAACATGGGCCATATACCACCCAAACAGATCAGTCCTAGGAAACCCCCCCGAGACCCATTCAGAACCAAGGAAATCTTTTGACCAAAGCACACGCTCTAGAAACCTTTTTCTTAAAAAAGAAAAAACTTTCATAATAAAGTTTATTACCTAAACTGGTTGTAAAAAATATAAAATAGGATTCTGCACAGCAGAAAAATAAAGCCAGAGACCATCCCCCAACCCCTGGTTTGTGCAAAGATACTGGGTATATGTAAACATGAAGAGGTAGGAGGTACGAGTTCAGGTCCTGGACCCAGATACAGTTAAGTTAAGCTGCTACGAAAACCAGGGGGACCCAGAGGGAGCACCAGGAGGGGAGGGCACCCCTCCAAGAGGTGGGGAAGGGTCTGCAGCCTCGTCTCCAGCGGAGAGGGGGGAGGCGCCTAGCCCCCCACACCCGCTCCCTCCAACCCAGGAGGGAAGGGCACACCCACGTGGTTCCAGGTAAATAATAATTAATAATAGAAAATAATAACAAGGTGCCCCAGTTAATGCTGCGTGCGTGGCCGGTCAGATCTGGAAGGGGAAGGAGCTCAAGTAGTCGCGGAGGACGGGGTTGAGGGGGATGCGCGCCAGGTTCTCGCGGCCCACGGTGGCCACGATGCGCTGGCGGCACAGCTCCTGCAGCGGCCGCACGCGGCGCTGGCGCAGCGGGGCCCCCAGCATGCGGCGCGGCGCCGCCACGTAGTGCTCCAGCAGCTCGAAGAGACAGTCGAAGCTCTCGCGGCTGCCGTCCAGGTGGAAGCGGCCAGCCTGGAAGTGCACGCGGATGCTCGTGGGGCCCGAGGCCATCTTCACGCTGAGGGCGAAGAAGCAGTTCCGCTGGCGGCTGTCGCGCACCAGGAAGGTGCCCACGGGCTCGGTGCGCAGCCGCTCGTGCGCCCCGTGCACGCTCAGGGGCCCCCAGTAGAAGCCGCAGGCGTCGAGGAGCGCGCTGGCTCGGGTGATGCGCCGGTACTCGGCGTGCGAGCGGAACGTGCGGAAGTGTGTGTCGCCGGGGGCCGGGGCCGGGGTCGGGGCCGCAGCCGGAGCCGCCGGGCAGGGCCGCGGGCGCGCGGGGTCCGCGGGCGAGGAGGAGGAGGAGGAGGAGGAGGAGGAAGGCTCGGGCCGCCGTCGGGACTCTGCTGCCGTGGAGATTGCATTGTCGGCTGCCACCTGGTTGTGTGCCACCATCCTACACGCGGGGCCAGCCGAAGGGGTGGGCCATAGCGTCCGGGGGTGCGCTGCTGGGAGACAGAGGCAGTGAGCACAGAGTCTGGGCAGGCGATGGCCCGCGACACCACTTGGGGAGGCGTGAGGCTCTAGGCTGACCGACCCTCAGGAGCCAAGGGCGCAGGACCACGACGGCGCGGCCCCTTATAGCCTCAGTGGGCTCATCTAGACAATGGGGTTCCCAGTCCGCGGAGAACTTCCAGGCGGCTGGGTGCTCGGTGCGCGTGGAGTCCAGCCTCTGGGTCGTTCGGAGTTTGGGTGACAGAGCGGCGTGCAGAGAGGTCCCGGGGAGAAGTGACTGCCCCGACTCCGGCCACCCGGCCCCCTGCTCGCCGCCCCTTGGCCGCCGCCTGCTGGCCAGCCGGGGATTTGCGCTTCGTCCCGGCGATTTGCGCAAACAGGAGAAAAACCTGCGCTGCGGGAACCCCACGCGCGGTGGACTGCCACGATGGGGCCGGTGGGGGCCAGGGGCGTGGCGGCCGCGACCCCGCTACGCCGCCCGCGAGGCCGGCAGGATACTGGCGGCCCTTTCGTTTCCTGCCCTCTCCTCTTTCCCCCTTCTCCCTCCCGCTGCCTTGCCCAGTGCCCGGCTCACCTGGCGGCGGGACGCGGGGAGCCGCGGGCGGGGCGGCAGGGGGCTCCGGGGCGGCTCTCGCGCATGCTCCGGGGCCGGGAGCCGTGCAGCTGCCACGGCCGCAGCTCGCTCTGCTCCGCGCCCGCCCCTGCACCAGTCTTTTAAACTGGCTTGGAGGCGGGGCCGACGGGCTCGGTGTCCCGCCCCTAATGACTCCACCCCCGGAAAGCCCCGCCCTTTCGCGCCACTTTCGGTTTCTTTTTCTACTGGGGCGCGCAGTGGAGGCCACACCTGCTCGACCTTTCCTTCGCACCTGGGCACCCTCCCTGTGCGGGGCGGTCCCTTGACCTAGCCTCGTACCTGCCCCAAGACCCTACATCAAGGCCTCTGGCCCCGCCCCTGAACTCCCTGGCCACTTCCCAGAGGCCCCCTTCGGACCCGGCGCCCCTACTTTGCCCCCACTACCCTCGGTCGCAGATTTCTGCAGCCAAGCCTTACTAGGACCCTCTGGACTGGGCCTGCCCCACATACCCGCTGCAAGGTGTCTCAGCACCCATCTCAAGCAGTGCTCTGTCCCCTACTTCCTTCCAGCCAGACCGCCTCCACCTGACCCTGGGGCCCCACCGCGGGCGACTGCCCCGCCCAAGTAGTCTCGGAGCCTCAGGCAACCTACCCCGAACCCCTCCCAGCCTGCCTTGTCCCTGGGCTTGGCTCAGGTTTCCCAGGAAGAGGCTGCCTGACCACAAGCTTCAGAGGAATCCTTCGGAGGCGCGGGAAGGGCGCCTCGGCTGCGAGGCTGAGTTCCTCAGAAACTGGGCGGGGCTCATCAAGGTCCCCCGCTGACTTGACTCAGCCGCCCTACTACCCGATAACTGGGGAAACTGAGACCCGGGAGGGGCTGTGGTTTGCAGTGATTGGCAGATGGGAAGTTCTCCTTATGCTTATTTTGGGGCAAGGAGCAGCTGCGCACCTCCAAACACACTGAAGCTCAGTGAAAAGGTGGTTCATTTTCAGAATGATTCCAAAACCCACTTGAGTTTTCGTGGCCAGCTGCCTTCTCGCCTCACCTCTACCTTACAGCTTCTCCTCTCCCTGCGCAGTCAAGCATCTGCCCCCACCCGCCACACCTCCAGCTTGGGATGGCGGGGTGGGGTTGGTGGGGGCTATAATTTGTACGTTTGTGTGTGTGAGCCAGTGATCATGCCTGTCTTGGAAAGCGTGGAGTAGGTGCCTGGCTGGTATATTTTCGAAGGAGAGAAGGATCACATAAGGATTGCGGCTGGTGAGTGGGTAGTCAGTGTCTGCAAAGGTCACAGAAGGCGAGAGGGCGGGCCGGCTGGAGCAAGAGGACTGGCTTCACACTGGCACACACTGCCCTCTACAGGCAGCTGATGGGCTGCAGCCCAGGCAACTCACTGAAGCCCTAGTGCCCGCTTCTGCGCCTTCCTGTGCTTTCCTTCCCCTGTCCCAGGCAGCACCGAGCTCCTCTCCCCTGATTTCTCCTGAACAGAGAAGCGGGTAGGCCATTCTAGAACCAGCCATTGGCTCATGTTTGCAGCAGCTGGTGTTGGGCATTGATGTGGTTGTCCTGGGTCTTATGTGTGTGTGTGTATGTGTGCACGCGTGTGTGTGCATGCACTCTTGTGCAAGAGGGTGAGAGAGGAGGTGCAGAGCCATGCATGCACCAGTGGTCAGTTTGTTGGAGCCCACAGACATGTGGCTTCATCCCTGTGCCCATGTCACAAGCTCGGCCCGTGAAGGCGTGGGCAGAGTAGGAGCTTCCTGGGGCTAAACACCCCGGATGCTGGCAGTGGGGAGGTGCAGCATTGCCTTCTCACCTGAGCTGGTAGGTGGTGGTCCAGGCCCAGAGAAGGTGGGTAGGCTGGGCTGGCTCCTGCATGACTTGTCTTCCTGCCAGCGTGTCTCCTTGGCAGGCCTCCGGGCAGAGGGAAATCGATAAATAGCTGATAGCCCATGCCCCCTACCCACCATGGACAGCTAGGATGGCTACTTGGGACAGCTACCCCTTTCCCCAAGGGACTGGGGTCTCCTCTCTGTCCCCCTCTTGCTGCCACACTCCCATTCAGCCCCGTGGAGTTCCTCCTTCATTCCATTTACTGATGCCTAAGTTGTGTGCTAAGTACTTTACAGTCCTTAGACCATTGGATTGGCACAACAATCCAATCTGCCCATTTTACAGACAGAGAAACTGAGGCTCAGAAAGAGAGTCCCTTTCCCAGGGGTACCCAGCTCAGAAGGAGCAGAACTAAGATTCATATCCAGGATATCAGGGTCCAGTGCTTTTGCCCTTATTCACTCTGCTGTAAAATCCTTCCCCCCGGTTCCTGGTGATCTCAATTCCTGCTCTGTCTTCTGGCAAACAGCAGATGCCAAAGAAATCAGAGAGATTCATTTGCAGGCTGGCCTGCAGGCTTCCCTCTCATTTATAAGCCTGGGACCACCATGAAGGAGGCATTATCTCTATTCTACAGATGAAGAGATCAAGGCAGAGGAGATATTCACATGCTCAAGGTCACAGGGCTAGAAAGTTGGAGAGTTGGAATTGGTACCCAGATAGTCTGGGTCCAAAGTCTGGCAAGTTATCACTATATTTTATTCATCACCCACCACTGGGCACAGCCCCCAGCAGCTGTTCTGGAGCGACCACAGCTCCAGGTGTTAGCATCCAAGCCTCCATCTCACCCTTTGTGGCTTCGGCCCTTCCAAGGCTCAGTTTTCTTGCCTGGACATTGGGCCTGGCTGCACCCTCCACCCTGACCAGGCCCTGGTTGTAAAAGCCGTTGTGAGTCAGGCACAAATCACTGAGCCCACGTGGGTTCTCCTCACCACCAACAGTAACCATCATTATACATTTGGTTTCATTTTCTGAAGTCCTGAGTTCAAAATGAAACCAAATCCCGATGCCAAAAGGGAAAAAGAAGTGAAAAAAAAGAAGGGAAAAAAAAAGATGCTCATTGGCCTCCTGGGCCCTTCTTCCTGGAGAACTGGCACTAGGCTCACGGGAAGGTAGGAAGCCCGGAGCCCTGAGGAGGTCCCTCCCCGCAGCCCATCTATCTTGGAGCTCTCCAGGGCCTCCCCCTCCAGGGCCCCCCACCATTCCCTCTCTCCTGGCCACACCTAGCCAACAGCTTTTCCTTTTGCCTCTCTTGTCCCCTGCAACCGAGTCTTCACACAGTAGTCCACACTATCTTTAAAAACACTAGACCCTCTATTGTAACTATGGTCTTTCAAGCCAGCATAGAGTATGGGGCTTATTCAATAAATGATCTTGAAATAAATTTTAATTTGGAGAAAAAACACCCTAGGCCCTGTCGTTTGCTCTATTAAGACCCCCTCATGATATGTCCAAGCCGCACCCCCAGCCTGCACATCCCCGCTTGTCCTGGCCCCTGCCTCGTGTCCAGCCACTGGCATGTCCTGTCTGCTCCAGTCTTCGGATGCTTCAGGCTCTTCCCTCCTGGGGGCTTCTGCGCGTACTGTCCCTTGGTCTGGAGTGTCCTTCTGTCAGGTCCCCACTGGGCCTCTCCACCCCCGCCCCGCCACAGCCGCTCTGCATTGTATCTCCTTGCCCCCTTGATCTCTGTGATGGGCAGATCATGTTTACATGTTTGTGTGTTCTTTCTCTGGATGGGGCCACACGTGTCCTCTGTGTTCGCAGCCCGTGTAGCCCCTGAACACACTTGGTTCCTTGGCAGCCCCAGAGAGGCTGATCACCAGCCCACGGTCCCACAGAAGGGAAACAGGAGCTAGGATTCAGACTCAGGATGCAAAATGCACATACCTAACCCCTCTTCCCACCTGCTCCTGCCATGCTTCTGGGCTGTCTACTGCGTGTGGATCTCATGAATGGTTGGGGTCCATGGCGTTCCATGTGTGGGCACACTTGCTTGCCTGAGTGTGGGAGTGTATAAGGCAAAGGAGGGCTCTACCCCAGTAGGGTGTTGCGTCTCTACTTCGAAGACTTCTTGGGCATCTCTACATCCCGAGTCGGCATCAGCTCCTTTCCCGAGGGCCTGGCACAAGGCATGTCCCTGCTCCCCCCGCAACCTCTTTCCTGCTTTGTGCTTTCCAGCCAGACCCCAAAGGTGACACCTTTAGTGAAATCAAAAGGCCAACCCCAAGACAGTGTGCAAGCTTTAATATTGCATAGAAATTGCTGTAGTAACATGTTCCTGCAGGAAGTTTGACTTACTCGTTCTAGCGTTGTGCGCATGATCGCGCTTCTCATGTGGGTGAGACCAACACAGGAACCAGCCACGGAGTGCCTTCGCAGCTGTGCTTCTGCCCTAAGGGGTAGGAATGGGACAGGGCCCCTTAAATAACAGTGGTTCACAATGTCACTTAACTCCCATCCTTTGGATTTTGGACTGCTAATTTGTAATTGAATATGGGATAGATATTAGACTATCAAGGTCCTTTTGGCTTACGTGAATCCATCCATTTATCATCTACCCACCCATGAATTCACCCAGTCCATCCATTTATCCAACATTTAATTTCATTCTTTTATACTTTATCCAGGCTACCTGTCTAGTCCATCAGTCCAAACACCTATTCTTCCATCCATCAATCCATTCGGTTCCTCCATTCATCGTCTACCCATTCACCTACCCATTTGTCCATCCACTGGTCATCTAATCATGTACCCAGCTAGCCAGCCTCTAACCAATCCATCAGACCAGCCATGCTCCCATCATACTCATGCCTCCAGCTCTCCATCTGTGTCCAGCAGACTCACACTCCAGGCACCTGGCACATCCTTCCAGCCATGAACCATTTTTACCCAACCAGCTGATTTGTTTACCTGACTAGCACATCAGTCCAGTTCAGCTAATCATGTTTATGTGACTTTCTAGTCATTCAACTGATAAATTTTGTCCCTGCCTCCATCCAGCTACCATCTGTGTGTGGAACCCTTCTATCACCCATCCCTCTACCTAATCAACCTGGTGAATTATTTAACCACCCATCCATGTTTCCAGCTATCTAATCTCCATCGGTCCAGCCTCCCAATCACCCTGTCCAGTTTCCCTGCAGAGCCAGTCCATCAATGCATTATTATACAGCTGCCGTAGTTGTTCTCCCTCGCCACCCTTGCCTGTGGGTCCTCCGTGCTCTGGCTTGCAGCCGCAGGCTTCCCCTCCCTGCCCCCAAGGC